AAATTCTTTTGCAACAACAGTCAAAAGAAATGTTGAGGTGTGATGATGACTATGACGATGATGAAGACGACGACGATGATGGTGATGATGATGACGAACATAATGATAATGAAGACAGTGACGAAGTTAATCGAGGGGATTGCTCTAATATTAGCAATAGTAGTAGTAGTAGTAGTAGCAGAAGTAGTAGTAGTAGTAGTAGTAGTAGTAGTAGTAGTAGTAGTAGTAGTAGTAGTAGTAGTAGCAGAAGTAGTAGTAGTAGTAGTAGTAGTAGTAGTAGTAGTAGTAGTAGCAGAAGTAGTAGTAGTAGTGGTGGTGGTAGTAATATTAGTAGATAGTAGTAGCAGTAGTAATAACAGTAGTGTAATGAAACAACAACAAAACAACAAAAAGTTTAATATAACAAATAAATCAATAAAACCAACATTAGATCAACAACAACAACAACAATAAAATTAACAATACAAATAAAATCAACAATGAAAATGACAACAAAACAAAACGTATAAAATCATTAGTGTTAACAACAAAACAACAACAAAATAAAATCAATAATAAAATCGACAACAACAACGAAACATCCAGACATTACATCACCAACACCTGTGAACGTAAAAATTTTTCAAGCCAAAAAATAATATTGATGCATTTTTTCAAACGGAGCGTCCAACTGCCCAGTTGACATTTAAGCTATATAAGTATGCACGTGTTTGCATTTGTATGTTTGTATATGTATGTTTGTATGTGTATATTTGTATATGTATGTTTGTATGTGTATATTTGTATAAATGTTGGAAGGAGACCATATTTTATACAGTATTGTATCTTGAATGAATTCTAACAAACTGTTGGCATTAATCAATTTACTAAAATTTTTTGGAATCTGTTCAATTTATTAGAAATAGAATGTTTATCCAAGTTGTTATTCATATTCATCATTCTGATAGAGGAGATAAAAAATCATCACTGTGAAGGAGAATTTGAATATGATCGCATGTATTTCAAAAATTTGCGATTGCTGTATAATGTAACACTATTGCAGGTGTGTTTATGTATATAATGACCAGTAAACTTAGTTTCAAACAAATTTATTACTGATTAATAATTGCTTTTGAGTGATGTGAGTATAAAATACTCTAATATTCTGTATTCTGACTTGATCAATATTATAACTTATATAAATATTTTGGATCATTCATTCATATTTAACTTGCTAACGTACGTATGTTTGTGTGCCTGTATAAACATCCATATGTGTGCGCGCGTGTGAGTATGTGTTTGTTTTGTTTGCGTGTTTTTATTGTTTGTATGTTTTACCTGTAAACAACCGTAGAAATATACACCTTTTCGTAGTTACATTCATCTTTGTTTGCTCTGTTATTGGCTTTAAGTCAGTCAGAGAGTCACGTACGAAAAGCATTTAGTGCATGTGCATGCGTGTTTGGTATAGTGAATATGTAATAATCATGTTTGTTTGCGTGTATGCATGCAATTGTGTGTGTGTGTGTGTGTGTGCTGGTATACGTGATTTGGTGACAATAAATATGCGGTGTTTGTGTGTGGTTCGAATTCTGCGCATTAAATTCTTTTTAAATGTTTTTTTTCTATTATTTACAATTGAATAATATACAGTTTTAAAATTATTTCCTTTTTATTTTTAGAAAAGAATGTTTGTGTATATAAATATAAAAATATAAAATCATATATGATAATATCAGAAGATATAAGAACAAGTGAAGATGATTTTCTTAATTGACATTTGTTCCATGGTCGACAATTTTGTGTGTGTTTGTCTGTGTGTGTGTGTGTTGTGTGTGTGTGGTGTGTGATTAGCCTGATAACAATTTATATTATGTTTGGTCGTTAAACTTTTCAATCGTAACATATCGATCGAGAGGTTGTAACATACATATATTTCAAAATATTTCAATAATCCAAAATATGTGATGCGTATTTTGGTATTTCAATTTGTACCTTAATTTTTATCTCTTAACTTGTATCTAAATTCGTGTCATAATTTGTATCTTTGTATCATAATGTGTACTTCAAGAGAGTTTTGGTATATTTTGAATTGAAATAATTAATTTTAATCACCGTGATAACGTTGATTTCATTGCACGTCAACAATAAATATGAGTTTCTCATGAAAAAAATCAATAGTTGATTGACACATTCATTCAATACTACTACTACAACTGCTACTGTTGTTGTTGTTGTTGTTGTTGTTGTTGTTCTTCTTCTTCTTCTTCTTCTTCTTCTTCTTCTTCTTCTTCTTCTTCTTCTTCTTCTTCTTCTTCTTCTTCTTCTTCTTCTTCTTGTTATTAAACAATAAACATGTACATAAAGAGTTTACAAAAATAAAACAATGAGCAGCATTTTCACTTCAGTGAACACATATATAGACAAAATATTTATAATCATATCTTTGTTTTCTTGCTATCATTCATTGCGAAAGAATGAATGAACGAACGAATGAACGAACAGATAAACGAACGAACGAGCGAATAGACTAACGAACGAGCGAGCGAATGAATGAATGAATGAATGAGTGAGAGAGTGAGTGAGTGAGTGAGTGAGTGAGTGAGTGAGTGAGTGAGTGAGTGAGTGAGTGAGTGAGTGAGTGAGTGAGTGAGTGAGAGAGTGATTGAGTGAGTGAGTGAGTGAGTGAGTGAGTGAGTGAGTGAGTGAGTGAGTGAGTGAGTGAGTGAGTGAGTGAGTGAGTGAGTGAGTGAGTGAGTGAGTGAGTGAGTGAGTGAGTGAGTGAGTGAACGGTTGAATAAATGAATGAAAAATGATGAAAAAGTAGCGACAAATAACATACAAACTACAAAGTTGACTTTTGCAATAATAAAAATAAAAATAACCACATTAAAAATATCAACAAACAGCAGCAATAACAATAGTAAAAATAACAACAAAATATAACTAACACTTCAACAATTGTCAATTCAACAAACAGATCAGGGCCACAATACATATTACTATTACAATACATACTACTACTAGTATTAATATTATTATTACTACTAATGCAAATATCACTACTACTACTACTAATACCAATACTGCTACTACTAATACTACTAATACTACTACACTGCTACTACTACTACTAATCTTACTACTACTACTTATTGTTGTTATTATTATTATTCGTGTTATTATTATTTTATTTTGGTTCGCAACTTTAAATTAATGCTTTCAAATAATTTTAGAACGTTTTTACGATGAAAACTATTGTGTCAACGTGCAAGTCAGTGAAAATAAAAACAAAAAACTCATTAAGAAAAACATTTAACAATATATGATAAAGCTATCTTGACGAAAATTAATGTAATACAATTAGAACAGCTTGAAAAGGGACACTTGATATTAGACTAGCAGAGCATTCAAGCAAGATAATGGTTTCTACGAGTTGTGGTTCTGTCTGGTCGGTACAAACGCCGTCAAGATAAATTACTAAAAAACCGACAGACTGGACCGGTACAAATGTCTCGACAGGTTGAGTCGCTACAAACGTCATTTAGTTGAGTCGGTTTTAATCGGTTTCGATTTCAAACGGTAATCGTTCTAAACGTTACGGTTTACTTGGTTTATTTATAAATGATAACTTTTTTAGGACTTTATATTTGGTCGTAATTGTTGTTGAAAATTATTGACGACGCCAGCTCACGCTGGCATGCACGTTACCCCTTGATGGTTGTTTGATTCATGGGCCATCATGCGTAGAAATATAAAATTTGTTATTTTTACAAGTTCATATATGAAAAGATGTGATGCTTTTGTTCGTTTTCAACGAAGTGACGATACACTTGCAACGCTACTGAGCAACATTCAACTATGTATGTGAATGAATATGCATTAATTTATTTCTTAATTCACTTATTAATTCATTCTTAAATGTCAACAATAATAACCATAACGATGATAATAACGATAATAAATGCGGTTGATTTGAAACAATCTTCATTAGCAAACATGAACGCATACATGCGTTTATTGTATATACAATGCATCCATTTAAACAAACACACATACATAAACTAATATACACATACATTCATGCATATAAACGCATACATATACATTCATTCATGCACTGCAGCTAATGCATGCATGCATATACACACCTGTTTATACCTAGGCAACCAACTTTTTTCTTGGTTCATTGAATATATATATATATATATATATATATATATATATATATATATATATATATATATATATAAGCATACACACATACATACATATGAACATATAAATACATTTATAAATAAATTTACAAACGAATATAAACGTACGAACGAACGTACAAACACATTATATCCATTTTAAGGTAACAAATTTATTCTTTTTCTATTTTTATAATCTATTAATTTCTCTCTCTCTCTTTCTTTCTCTCTCTGCCTCTGTCTTTCTCACTCACAATGTTTCTACGTTAATTTTCATTCTTAAACCTTGCTCTTGCAATCTCTCACGAAAGATTTCAATCGCTTTTGATCGTCAGCGCATTTTTCTAACCGTCATTCCTAGAACGCAGAAATCATCTCCGCGCTCATTTCCCTGCTTATTATTTCCCCGCTAATAAATTTTATTTTTTATGAGCAGTTTTTTATTTTATAAATTTTAACTTTTTAAATATTTTTGACATCTTCTCAACAATCAGATTTCATCATCTTTTTTACAATCGTGAATAACTTGAGCCAAAGATCGACAGCAAACAATGCGTCTGAGTAACTTTTCGGGAACGAAGACGATAGTGATGGGAGCATTCCTGATTTTCTGGGGATTGGGAAGTTTCGCACTGGGCATCCCATCGGCCACACCGGCCAACATGAGCTATCCGTACGGTCATCTCGGTTATGGGATCTGGTGTGGCGTCTTTGTGAGTATTGTTTCAGCCCTTATATTGTTTATTTGGTGTCAAGTATTTTTTCTTATGTCTGATTGAAACGAAACGTCTTTAGCAGTTTGAATTATCAGTTAAATAAAAATCCTAATGAAAAGTTTTTGCTTTTTATTGGTGAAATGAGTCGGCAAAAATAATAATTAATTAAAACTGGAAACACGTACAACTGACAGTTTACCATAGTTGGGATCATCGACATCGTGCTGGGCTGCAGGACAACTCCGAGCCTGGTAAGATGGAATGAGTGATGGGGGATGTTCTTTGGAAATTTGATAATGATGGTAGGATTTATTTAATAGAATACACACATACCAACTTTTTCGTAAACATACACACACGACACGCACGTAATCACATACACGCGAAAACACACACGAAATACACACACACACGAAAAAAAACACTCAGGTTCTTTGGGCATTGGTTCTAAACATTTTTGCCAGCATCCTTGGAGTCCTAGAGATGGCTCTGGGGACGGCAGCTGCCAACCAGGATTTCAGTGCCATGAAGTTGAGGGAAGGATTGGTCGATTCATATGATCCCAATTATGCAAAGTTTCAAGAATTAGCTGACTTTTACAGAGATTTCTTTCCAATGACTTATAAAATTGCCCTGTCTAAGAATCTTGTTCCGGTAAGCTGGCTTGTTTTTATTAATAGTTATAATTGTACGTCGGGCTTTTACTTTTTATATGTATTTTGTTAAATTTTTCAATTTTGATCTTTTTGCGCTTCACATAACCAAATGTTAAGTTGACTGAATAAATCTGGATGCATTGCGTTATTGATATTGATCTGTTTCATAGAGGCAGACGTATTGTCACGTAATTGTTTTCAATATTGCGTTCGTTCCTAGCATGTGCCTAACTAATAAAGTTTTTTTATTATATGTCATTATTTAGTTAGTTAGCGTATACAACATATAGACTGCAACACATTAGGCATTTATGTCTACCTAAAAAGCTCTAGCATTTTGTAAAGTTTCCATTATTTCTACGGCGTTTTATAGTAGCTCTTCATACCCATGGGAGCTACTTCATCACCGTCAATCGCCACACCACCACCATTTTTTCACCACTCATCACCACCAGAGCCTGCACAACGGAACAGTGGCCGTTGACTCTTTGCTAGCCATCTGTGGGATATTTGCCGCCATATTTGCCGCTAACGTCGCCTGCAGCTGCGCTAAAGTTACCTGCTGTCCTAATGTTGGCAGATTTTTGTGTGGATATTTTATCCACTTAATAAACAAATAATGATTTTATATTTTTTATTAATAAATATTAATGTATAAAAGCAATTTGTAAATAAATTTTGTTAAATTATTTAGATCAAGACGGATCTCGATAGTGTAACTGTTGTGGCATCAACGCACCACGAAGCAAGGCAAAAACCAAGTAAGTCACATCTTAAATTGATTTAAAATTTCGTTGTGTTTAATTTTTATTACAGAGTGTATAGAAAATCATTTATATAGCGCTTCAAATGTGAAGTTTTCAAACAATTCAATCATAACATTTCATGAATGTCAAAACGTTTGTGTTTATAACAAGTTCTTTTCATTGTTACAAAATGATCGTAAATAATATTTTATTGTAATAAATATTATTATTATTTAGTTAATATTAAAATACAATTTATAATTTATAATACTTTGTTATATTTTTTATTATTTTTAATAAAATAAAATTTTTTTAAATAAATTTTGATAAAGAGATACAAATGATGCACGAAAATGCAGGCTTTCAGGGACCTCCACACACCGTACAGCAAGCTTAAGAAGAAGATGATGGTGAGAATGATGATGAAGAAGATGATGATGAGGAGGAGAAAGATAATTAGGATGATGAGAATAATGACTGATGATGAAGTAATGATGAATATGATGATGATGGTGAAGACGATGATGCTGTTGCTATATTGGTGCTGTTGCTAATGATGAAAATGATGATGACGATGATGGTAATGTCTGATAATTACAATCATATTCTTGATAATATATATGTTAATAATGAAAATGATACAAATAATGATTAAATCTGTGGTAACAACAGATGATATATGTATCATCAAGGATGATAATTGATACTATCTAACTAGATATAATATGATGCTAAATTTTAATGAATAAATAGATATAAATACGGCTTCATATCACAGCCTTTAGCACAACAAAACACAATATAACTTACACCATATATAACATAACATATAACACAATATATAACATGCTATAACTCATTATATAGCGTACGAACACGTGATTGCACTTACAAACTGTTTGTTCAACAACTTTATCTTATTTAAAGAGAATATTTTTGATTTTCTCACAAAGTATCTCTTTGTTTGCATTACTCACCAAATGAAACAATCATTAATTTATTTATTTTCAAATGACAATTGTATATATTTACGAAAATTCGATGTTTTTTAAATTAGTTTTCTAGTTTTCGATAATTTATTTTTATTAATATATTTATTTGTCGTGTAAAAACGTTTGATTTTTACTAATTTTTAATTTGGTTTTTAAAATATTTCAATTAACTTTTTTAAATAAATTTGATTTCGCACATTATATATTTTCAACACATTGTGTCTTAATGTATTTTAATTAGTAATAACTGAAAAACACAAAAATTCATTCTATGTTTTATATTTCGTGTTAACTTTTACAAAATTTATTTTTGTCTTTAATTATTCTCTTTAATGATGATTTGCTTGTTAATTGATTAAGAACAGTTACCTTTAATGATATTAACATGATAGCAATATGCATGTGGTTTATGTGTGCGTGTGCGTGTGCGTATGTGTGTGTGTGCGCGTGTGTGCAATGTTTGTATCTGTATGTGTTTGTATGTGTGTTGTCTGTGTGTTTGTTTGATAATGTAGCCTTCTTTAATTTTTATCTAACGAACAATAGCAGTTAATTATAAATATTGATCTTATGTAATTTATATTCATTACTTTTTCGAAATTATATTTTGAAAAATTTATAAAGATTTTAATTTTACCATAAAAACACTCGAACGATTGATTCTATCAAAATATATAACAACATCATGATTGTAATTAAGATAAACAGTGCTGTTTATACTAACTAACTAAAAAGTAGCCAGTACAATGCTCTAATAGTAATAAAGTTACTTGGTAGACGAAGTATTTAAATGCTATCATAGTATTCAACATTTGATATTTCACACTCAGCATAATTTGTCTGTATTAACCCAAGTAACTTTGAGTAACAAGACAAACTAAGAAACAGAGTAGCAAATGTAAAATGAGTGACAGAGTATTAACAACTGCTCGCTGGGTAAAAAATCGTAACATTAAATATAATGATAAGACTAACGATGACAATTGGAAAATTATTTCTACTCGTTTTAAATTGGCTATTTATAATTCAACAACAAAGACGAAACGTTACTAAATCGAACGTTCTTCAACAACGTTACAGTTTTACTACTACTACTACTACTACTACTACTACTACTACTACTACTGTTGCTACTACTACTGTTGCTACTACTGCAGTAGCAACTTCTACTGCTGCTACTAGTACTACTACTACTACAACTATACTACTACTGCTGCTACTTTTTTTACTGCTGCTACTGCTTCTATTACTACTACTACTACTATTATTATTACTACTACTAATACTACACTACTACTGCTACTACTACTACTATTGCAACTACTACTACTACTACCACTGCTGCTGCTGCTGCTGCTACTACTGCAACAATAACAGCAACGAGACACAACAAAAAACGTTTCGCCAAAGTTAATTAATGATGAACCTCCGTATTAATTGGTTTTATGGTTAGCTGGAATCAACAAAGGTAACGATAGATACAAGCACAATAATAATGATAACAATAACAAGTTTAAATAATAGTCATAATAATAATAATAACAAAAACAATAATAAAAGTAATAGTAGTTGCAGTGGTAGTAGTAACAGTTGTCGTATATTTTCTTCGACTGTCGTCATGGTCGTCATGGTCGTCGTGGTCGTTGTGGTAGTAGTAGTAGTCGTAGCAGCAACATCAGCAGCAGCAGCAGTAGTAGTATTGAAGTGACAATGACAAATAACAATGCCAATTTATAAACGAATCTCAAAACCAACGTCTCACTCTGCAAGGCACGTCAATACTTGATACGCTAACAAAAATACTCACAGTACCCTAACAAATAACTCGCTTCAAAGACCGGTGCGTGTATACGACGCATTACGCATGCATGTATTTGTGTGGTTCTGTATGTGTGCGTGTGCGTGCGTGTGGAGAACACTGAATAACATTAATTTAATTACCACAATTAATATCATTATTTCAATTCCATATAATGATTTCATTATTCTGCTAAATGACTCTATAGGAGCCAGAACATTACTTGACCATTGATAAATTTTCATTAGTATTGTACTTTACACACACAGTTATTGTGTAGAATACATGTACGCACGTACATACACATGTGCACGTATTCATTACCATTAGTACATTTGCATTGTATTGTGTATGAGTGTTAAGATACATGTGTGTGTGTATATATATATTTATGTATGTGTGCGTATGTGTATGTGCGTTTGTATGTATGTGTGTGGAGATATTTTGTGTGTGTATATATATGCAGTGATAGGAGTGTTGGGACTAAAATAATACTGGAGTTGAGTTGAACTTTTTCCGAGTCTTATTCCAACAGCCGTGTTGCTCGTCTAGGTTAATTTGGTTTTTGTGAAATTTCAACTTTGAATTTATTTCGTAAATAAGTTTTTATGTATTTGAAATTAAATTTTGTTGTAATTAATTTGAATAGTTTAAAAAAATTTTTTTGATATTTTTTTGTTTATATTTGATAATATTTCTATTTTACTATTTTATTTTTTTAGAAATTTATCAAAGAATTAAAAAATTTGCTGCTTCGTGCCAACATATTGACTGAAGGTAAGGCAGAAAAATTTAACAGTTTCATATTTTATAAAGTTTTAAATTTCTATTTATATTTGAGAGATATAAAAGTACATATTTTAATTTTATATTTATTGTTTAATTTTTTTTAATTACGGAATTTAACGAAAACATGCAATGTAGTATTTTTATATTTCAAGTTTATTCATTGCTCATAATTGTTGCATGCAAATTATCAAGATAATTATTAAAATTATTGTTATTAAATATATTTATTGCTGTCAAAATCCTTGTGGCATTCGTTATTGTTGATGTAGTTTTCCTTCACCACTGCTACACATTACAATAATTTGTTGTTGCTTTTTCATTTTTATTATTATTAATAATGTTGTTATTATTAATTTTGTATCCTTCTTCTTATTCTTATTCTTCTTCTTCTTATTATTACTATTATTGCATTATTAGAGCGAGCGCCTATGTTTTAGAGCCATTGTTTACTGATTTAAATTCATTTGATACGCTTCGCAAGGCGCAAGCTATTTTGGGACTACACACACACACACACACACACACACACACGCAAACAAACACACACCTACATACACATACACACATGAATACATACACATACCTTTATTTTGTCAGTGTGTCACCATGCGATGTTTTCTGTGTGTGTTTGTCTGAAAGTATGTGTGTGTGTGTGTGTGTTTGTGTACGTGTTTGTTCGTGTACTTAATAAATCTATTACCCAAACAATTGTTTCTACAATACATAAAGAACATATATTTATTTATTTATAAATAAGTTTTTATATATTTATTCATTTATTTATTTGTGTATTAAATTTTATTTATTTGATGACTCACAATAGCTATATATTTCTTTCAAAAACCGTTCACACGTACATATGCACACCAAGAATTTATTTGTATGTGAATTATTTTCATATCTTATACCATCATTAACATTGAAAAATAAATTTAAACTATTTAGCGTTGAATATATTCTGAAAGATCGAAAGAAGGGAGAAAAGAAAGACGGTATCAAAGTTTTCCACCACTCAATATTTTACTCCATCTCGCGTGAAAATGCGTCTCACTAATTTTTCCGGAACGAAGACAATAGTGATGGGAGCATTCCTGATTTTTTGGGGATGTGCAAGTTTCTCACTCGGCATTCCATCGGCTACCATCATCAACATGAGCTATCCGTACGGTCATCTCGGTTACGGTATCTGGTGCGGAATATTCGTAAGTACTCGAGTATCTTTCGGTATTTAGAATCACTGTTTTATCATTTCGTTCCATGCAGTTACACATTTCATTTATGACACTATATCACCTTATCAAATAAGATATATCATATTGATACATGATATCTCATCTCATTACCATCATCATACATTATATTTTATCATTATTATCTCATCATCAGTTATCATGTACATCATCTCAATCACATTTCGCATCGACAGTTCGCCTTTGTTGGAATCATTAACATTGTTCTTGGCTGCAGAACCACACCATCCTTGGTATGTTCTTTTTTATTAATTTATTTATCCACTCATTCAGTCATTCGTTAATTTCATCATTTATTCATCCATACTTTCAAATGAATCAACCAATCGAATGAAAAATTGTATCGGCGTTCTATTTACTATAGAATTAAAATTTTAATCCGCTGGAGTTTAAAACATTCAACGATGACAATAATTCATTGGATATTAAAATAATCCTACTTACCTGTTCCTAACACGGTGACCTCAATTATATCACCTGCAATTTGACCGAGTTAGCAAACAGAAATGTCAAATAAATTTCTCATAAAGTTTAATTAATGACGTCAGTATGTATTCAAACATCACGCATATTTTATTTACTCAAAGAAGAATTCGCTCGTTAAACTTAGCTAACAAAGTCAGATGTGTGCAGGGATTCGTGGCTGACACAACTGATGTCGTACAGACACAAGCAAGAAAATGGATACACAATTTTTTATAAACATACACTACACAAACACACATACATACAAAAAAAACACACACACACACACACACACACACACACTGACAGACAAACAGGCACATAAACGTACACGACTACACGTACTTAGATGGACAGAAGCGCAGATAACACTCACACAGACACGCAAACAGATACAAACGTATACTTAATTACACACACGCACACATGCACATACACACTACACACATTACACACACACACATTACACACACACACATAAACACACATACAGGTTATCTGGGGTCTATTTATGAACATCTTTGCCTGCGTACTAGGAGTCCTACAGACCGCCCTAGGCATGGCAGCAGCCAACCAAGACTTCAACGCCATGAAGCTGAGAGACATGGAGGGCAGCGACAATCCAGACGTTATCCAGAAATACACGGAGCTGTCTGAGTTCTATAGAGAATTTTTTCCAATGACCTACCGTATTGCCAACTCGAAACATCTCGTTCCAGTAAGACACAACTTTTTTAAATTTAATTTTCAAATTTTTTATTCAATCTTTAGCTGAGGTTTAAAAAGATATATAGATATTACATCTGTAACATTTTAAGTGGTTTTGCTTATGTCAGTACAGCAATAATAAAGACTAAAAAAATTGTATGTAAAATTTACACATTGGGCGTATTTTTTTCTTATTAATTTTCCTCCCAGTGACTTAATTAACTGAAGATCAGTAAACAAAATTAAAAAAAAACTCTTTCCAGTACATCCACAACGGGACGGTAGCCGTAGACTCACTGCTGGCCATCTGCGGAATATTTGCCGCCATATTCGCTGCTGTTGCCGCTTCAAGTTGCGCCAAAGTCACGTGCTGCCCTAATGTTAGTACATTTATGATGAAGTACAATTATTGCTGTTGAAATTATCATTATTGTTGTCATCATTTTTTTTACAACTCTCTCTCTCACTCTCTTTCTTTCTCCCTCTTTCTTTCTCTCTCTCTCTCTCTCTTTCACTCTTTTTTTCTCTCGCAAGTATTTTTCAGAAGTATTGACAGCAAACACGAAACGACTGTAAATTGAACGCGCATGTGTCAACACATCTCAAACAAAACGCATATTGATACGTGGGAATCTCTGCGTTCAAATGCGGTTACTGCAGCATCAGTGCCAGGCGTCTTAACCATTACAATACATTGCCATTGAACTATTGCACATTATTATTATTATTAGTCTTATTGAACTAATACACATAAGTCTTATTATTATTCTTACTATTATCATTATTCCTATTATAATTATAATAATTATTACTATTATGCTAATTATACATTTTTATTGAATTCAGATCAAAACCGACCTTGACACTGTTACCGTTGTTTCATCAGTTCATCATGAAGGAAGGCAGAAGCCAAGTTAGTTCGCGATGATGACGACGACGACGATGATGAGAATGATGATGGTGATAATTATGATGAGGATCATAATACTTATAAGATGATGATGATAATGAGCGATTTTCAACTTATAATTAATGCTACTAAAGTTATAAAAACATGATGACTGCAGCAATGCTATCGTTCCATGACATTAATTACAAGAATCATGATCATTTAATGAGACATAATAATTATTAATATAATTATAATATTCAATATAAGGTAACATTATTTTTTTCCGATTCACTTTTTATACAGCTAGCCAAATGCTACACGAAAACGCTGGCTTCCAGAGTCAACAATAAAAATATAAAGATCGGACGGTATAGAAGAAATTGACATATATAATAAAAGGATGATGATGACGATGATGATGAGTGACTGAGATGATTATCATGATATCTGAGTGAAGAATGGTTTTTTTAAGCAAATGACTTCTTCTTATAACAACTTATTTATTTATTTTAATAAAATTTTAAATGTAATTTAATTCGATCATTGTATTATAACGTATTTAATTTTTGCGATTTGTTTTATATTTGCATTCAATTATTCGTCTAATTAAATATTTATTGAATTTATTTTTTAAATTTATCTTATGTCGTAGTAGTTTTAATTCGCTCCTTTTAATTCATTTGATCTTTTAAAAACTTGGAATCATTATTATCGTAATTTTACAATTATTTTCAATGAATTAAATTAATTTATTAATTATCAATTAACATAATTAATCAAATAATAAGTTAATTAATTGATTATATAACTAATTAGTGTTTTTTTTAGTTTTTCACAACATGTACACATACACCTTTTTATCTTACGTCTGTTGGAATGATTTTAAAAGAATTTTGTTGATTTTAAAAATCGTTTGAAATTCTCACATAGTTGATTATTTTTATTAGTAGCTATTTCTAAATATTTAAATGTCAAATGAATAATAAATAAATAAATAATCCAATAATCTAATTTATTTTATACTAATCGTGGCATGTAAAAAAGTTTCAACACTGTTTATCAGAAAAATTAATCACAGACATACGTTCAGTAACTTTTATTAATTCGGTAAATGAAAATCTTACTAATTTGTTCAATTAAAGTCTTAATTAATTAACCAATTAATTAATTACTAATAACTGGTGTAAAAACATTTGTTTGTTAATCCATTTTGATCTTTTTCCAATTTGATATTTAATGTATGTGCCAATAAAAATAACGTTTCTACCAAATTAAAAAAAACTGTTTTTTTCGTTTAAAAACTTTTCGAACCAACCTTTTAACATGCCAGCCAATCAACCAATCAACCAACCAACCAACTAACAAACCAGCCTTATGCAAATGAAGCCCATAAAACCAACATCTTCGTTCAATCGTATTAACTTTATTAGCATAGAACACTTTTAATTATGCATGTGCATACACATATGCTTATTAAAAGAAAGCTTACATGCATACAATATATATTCCATAGAAACAAACATATTAAAAAATACAAACACAAATTTGCCTACGTAACAATACACACATATACAAAGATATATATTTTTAAACCAGCAGTGGGCAAACTTTTTGCTGTGAGGGCCGCATTGAAAACTATTTGACTTTTGAAGGGCCGCATGGAAAACTATTTGACCTTTGAAGGGACGCATTGACATCTATTGGACCTTCACTCAACGACAAACATGAAAGAGAAAAATAAAATTCGAAGATACCAACCTATGATCAATCAATTTTTTTTCTAAACTTTTATTTAAACTTTAGCCGAGGCTCATCTATTTTACTTTTACCTAAACTAATAAAGGCCTACCTAAAATACGCAAACATACATTAGCACGTACATGATGACCGTGTGTGTGATCAACCAACATATCGAAGGAAGTGTCGACCTTGACTGACATTGAAAAACATCTTAATTTAATTTAATTGCTACATCGATATTGATTGCGACCTAACTAATAAAAAAAAATTAATTTTATTTTATTTAATTAATTTGTTTTTTCTAAACAACGGCACAAGAATTATTGAAATAGGATGGGTAATTCGGAGAGTAATCATTGGAGGAGATGACGTCATTTTAAAATTAGTTTCACTGCACGTTAGTGAATTAGCCGGAATAAACATTTTATTCGATTCCTATAAAATAAATTTTACCAAATATTATATGCACACAAAACTAAATAAATAAATGGATAAGTGTAGTTATTAAATATATTTATATTTTCATATTTATACATTTAAATTATACAATTAAAGTAAATTGAGGTGTGTAGTGTCAAATTAGTTTTAATTCTTTTGAAATAATTTGAACCGCGCGCGTACATACACATGTAGATATATATGTAACACTGATTACTGTTGGCTTTATAAGGAAGTTATAAATAAATATATATAAAGTATTTAGAATCCATGTATACAAATTAGGGATGCACCGGATTCAGGTTTTTCAAATCCGGCCGGGGCCGGACTTGGCCGGATTTAAAATTCAAAAACCGACCGGGGCCGGAGCCGGGCCCGGATTTTAGGTACCATTTTACATACGTTAGAAAAAATACTCACATTTGCGGTTATCTACATGTTGAACATCAAAAAATAACACCAAGCAAATAGTTATTTAATTCAGATATATGAATAAGTTGTGTGATACGCCAAATTCTGTACACAAAGATCAGCTTATAATTCATGCATAACCCATGTTATAGCATAAAGAAAATTGTCCAGCTCATCTCATAATTAGTGATGTTATTTTGTGTCATTTATGCACGTGCACAAATTCTTTTACACAAAGATCAGCTTATATGTATGAATAACCAATGTTATAGCTCAAAGAAAATTGTCCAGTGGCTCACTTCACAATTAGTGATGTTGTTATTATGTGTCATGTATGCCTAGCCTAACCTTTACCATACCATGTTCTTAAATTATGCGCTTATGTATCTCTATGTATATATGTTTTATGTAACTATATGATCCGTCATATACAATTATATAGTATAAACCCGTGCACAAGTTCTTTTACACAAAGATCAGCTTATAATGTATGAATAACCCATGTTATAGCACAAAGAAAATTGTCCAGCTCATTTCACAATTAGTGATGTTGTTATTATGTGTCATGTATGCTTAGCTTTTAACTTATTGACATAAAATTAATTGAATTCAATGAAAAAAAATCCGGGGCCGGATTTGATAAAAAAGCCGGATTTTGGCCGGAGCCGGGGCCAAACTTCGGTGCATCCCTAATACAAATAATTACTAAGATTATATACAGCAGTTCCAACCAGTCAATCAGAATGTTTCGAAGGTCTGTTGTCAAGAATGTATATTAGTGTATTACACAAAATCAAAAATCAAATAACTTAAATCAATAAACTTTTTACAGATGTGAATGATTGTAAGTATAATATATAAAAAAATAAAATAAACACTTATTTTTATTTTTCAATTGTTATACAAAAAGGGATTTATCTCGATTAAATTTGAATTCAACTAGTCAAACGTGTAAACATTCTCGAACCATCCCGTCAGGAAGTCCGTAGGCGTTCGTTGAATTCATTTTAGGATAGTTAATATATTGTTATTAAGTACCTATAATAATGATTCATATACATTAAATAAAGTGTTTTATTGATGTAAATTATTGAAATGATAAGAATATATGGATGGAACTGGTATAAAAAGGAGCCGAGAACACGTTGAATTCAGATCAGGTGCTTTGGACCATTGTCATAGCGCCTGGTCTCATTTTTTTATATCTTTATTTTATATTTTTTATATTTATTTTTGTTATTCATCTTTACTATATAGAGTTATATAGAGTTTGCGCGGTTATATAGAGTTAAATGGAGTTTGCATGTTTGTCTGTGGTTTGTTTGTTGTGTTTTTTTTTATTTAGGTGGGTTCTTTAGCGGTTGCTCATACACACACACATACATACATCATGTTTGTTTGTGTGATAGTATTTTATGTTCTGTTTTACTCCTTTTTCTCTTTCTTCATGAGTCTTGAGTTAAGTTAATGAAACATAGGTAGGTGAGATTAAAAATTAATTTATTATATAGGTAGGCTAGGGCATATGGTAATTTAGTTATATATGTAGGTTAGGGACTTCTATTCTTTTACTCTACTTTATGGTATGTTTTTCGTTTTGTGTTTTTTTATTTTGCTTCACATCATACATTCAGCAGGTACGCGGTGGTTCCTGGTTTTAGTGGGATTTTTATTTGTTAGATGTAGTATTTTGCATGCTTATATAGAGTTTGCGCGGTTATATAGAGTTATATAGAGTTTGCGCGGCTATATAGAGTTATATATAGAGTTTGCATGTTTGTCTGTGGTTTGTATGTTGTATTTTTTTCTTATTTTAAATGGGTTCTTTAGCGGTTGCTCATACATACATACATACATCATGTTTGTTTGTGTAGTAGTATTTTATGTTATATTTTACTCTTTTTTCTCTTTCTTCATGAGTCTTTAGTTAAGTTAATGAAATAAGTAGGTGAGATTAAAAAATTTATTATATAGGTAGGCTAGGGCATAAGGTAATTTAGTTACATAGATAGGTTAGGGACTTCTATTCTTTTACTCTACTTTGTGGTGTGTTATTCGTTTTGTGTTTTTTGGTTTTGTTTCATATCATACATTCAGCAGGTACGCAGTGGTTCCTGGCTATTTGTTAGATGTAGTATTTTGTATGCTTATATAGAGTTTGGCGGTTATGTAGAGTTATATGGAGTTTGCGCGGTTATATAGAGTTATATAGAGTTTGCGCGGCTATATAGAGTCATATAGAGTTATATAGAGTTTGTATGTTTGTCTGTGGTTTGTATGTTTGTCTGTGGTTTGTATGTTTGTCTGTGGTTTGTATGTTGAATTCTTTTTTATTTTAGGCAGGTTCTTTAGCGGCTGCTCATACATACATACATCATGTTTGTTTGTGTGGTATTATTTTATGTTATGTTTTACTCCTTTTTCTCTTTCTTCATGAGACTTAAGATAAGTTAATGAAACATAGGTAGGTGAGATTAAAAATTAATTTAATATATAGGTAGGCTAGGGCATAAGGCAATTTAATTACATAGGTAGGTTAGGGGCTTCTATTCTTTTACTCTACTTTATGGTGTGTTTTTCGTTTTGTGTTTTTTGGTTTTGTTTCACATCATACATTCAGCCAGGTACGCGGTGGTTCCTGGTTTTAGGGGAATATTTATTTATTGAATGTAGTAGTTTGCATAGCTATATAGAGTTATATATATAGTTTGCGCGGTTATATAGAGTTATATAGAGTTTGCGCGGTTATATAGAGTTGGCGCGGTTATATAGAGTTGGCGGGATTACTTACAGGTCTTACTCTCTTCGTCTTTATCTTTCTTTCTATTTTACCATTTTTATTTTTATTTATTTGAGATGCGTCATTCAGCACAAATACTCACACACACACATTACATTAGGTAGCTATATAGGTAAGTTAGATAGGCATAATTTAAATTGTAGGTAGGATAGATAGAAGACATCCAACACTAATGTAGTTGAATAGGTAGGCGCGTAAGTTTATCGCTTCTATTTTTTCTTATACCCACATTACACGCACTAGCGTATTGCACACACACAAATACATACATAAACACATATATTAGTATTTGAGCGTAATTTTATTTTCACAACACATCAAATAGATTTATTATTACTAAGGTTGAGAGTAATTTAATTTCATAGGTAGTTAAAGGCAATAATGTAATAATAGGAACAATCTTAAATAAACGCTGTAAGTGTATTGATAGGTAGGTTGATTATTAAGTCTTACATTATTATTATTAGGTTGGAGCCCAAGGCATTGTGTAGGTGGTGGGGTGGGGCCGATTGGCAAATGAATTGGGCTCTTGAGTTTTGTAATTTTAGGTAAGCTAGGGCTTAATTGTAATGAATAGGTAAGTTGAGGCTTAGACGTTATTAGCTAAGGCACTTGAATAGGTAGATAGGATTATTTATCTAACTAATTTGAGAAGCGTGCACTTTTTTTTATACCCCTCCCGAACGGCTGCCTTGACGTGGCGAGGGGGCTTCTCACTAAATGCCGTTTGCGAGATGCACTTTTTCAGTTTTTTATTTTTTTTTCAGAAAGTTCTATAATGATTCAAGCGTACACACACATACACAAAATACAAACACATACATACATACGTACATACATACAAACACACATGTACACATATACATGCGTACATGTTTTAGCTGTTATATTGTTGTAATTTGTCTATTCTTCTTAATTTTTTCTACTTTGGTAACATATAATCACAAATATAAAGTGTATAATGAGTTGTGTTAACGAGCAATAGGTAAGCTAGAGATTGAATTAGTTGAACGTAGGTAGGTGAGGTCTGAGTTAATTGAACATTGGCAAGCCGTGACTGGAATTAAAGTTTAGAAAAAAATAATTGACAATAGATGTCCCAACATTTTTAAACTCCTATTTGATCTTTGCACAACAATGCGGGTATTTCTGTACGTAATTTCGTCCATATCAAACCCTATGTATAACACGTATCACTTTAGTTCAAAATTATGGATGGGTTTTTACTTTACACAAAAATTTTCCTTATTTTTTTCTTGAATGTAATAAAAAATACCAACATGACCAAATGTTTTATATCGATTCTTGGATGAAAAATATGACTACGGCTTCAGCAAATGATTGTTCCTAATAACCCTAACGACCCAACTAACATCTGATATAAACCGCCGTGTGTTTGAAGGCTTAATGTGTTACTCTAATTAATAAATTTTCTGGCTTTGTATATTTTCTTTGTTTACTGTTGAAGAATCAAAAATATGTGTTTCTTTCTTATTTTCTTAACTTCTAAAAATTCATTGTCACCTCTAAGGTTATATCCTATAGGCGTAGTGATATTTTAAACAGTATGTTTGTCATTAATATTGAAAATATTATTTAATTAATGATTAAAAAAATGGAAATTAGATAAAAAACCTTAATTGAAAAAACGCCTATCATGGACGTCATGTTCATATTTGTTTGTATGTGTTTGTATCATGTTTGTATCATATTTGTTTTTGTATTGTATGAGTAATGCGTGTGTGTGCGCAAAAAACAAAAAAAATCACTAAACAAAAAAGAAGACAATACAAAGGATGATTTTCAAAATATTTTCAGTTTCTGCGTCTGTCAGATTATGATTTTTTTTAAGAATAATAATAATAATAAGAATCCAGAGATGATGAGAAGACCATGAAAGAAGATTCTGTTTGAAAAAAAATTAGATTACCGACTGATTTACATTCTGAAGTATCTAGAAAATTGTCCTCGCTACCAAAACGGAAATTTGCAAAAGATAAAAAGATTAAAAGTTCAATCATTATTCTAGAATTTTGAAAATCACACCCCCACCCCACCACTGGCAGTTAGAACCTGGTACTGCAGTTAGAACCAACTGCAGACCAAACCAAAAACAACACGCGCTAAGCAAATTATACCACGAACACCACTTCAAATAATGAAGGCGAATAAATAATTTGCACTCAAGAAAGAGCAAAGAATGAAATTAGTTCATTAATTCAGAAGAATTTATTAACATTATAGAAAAACAAACATACTCAATGACTTTAAATAACACAAACAAACAAACAAACACACAAACAAATGAACAAACATACATGCAAACAAACATATATACAAACAAACATGCATACATACAAACAATAACACACCTACGCTTTAATACAGTTAAATAATCTTAGACGCATAATAATGAATGGTCGGGTGAATGATCGTGATGCCAAGGAATAAATTTATTATTATTATTATTGTTGTTACTACTATTTGAATTGCTGATGCGATTGTTATAATTAACAATTATCTTAAATAATTTTCTTCATAAATCGCAGTAAAACTTTAATAGCAGTTTTATAAAGCACGCATGTACACACGAAAAACACACAAACACAAACACCACAAAAACACGCACACATACACGCACACAAACAAACATACACGCTTACACACAAGCATTCACACACATTTACATATACGCAAACACACACTTAAACAAACAAACACATATACATAGACGCGCAGTTGTACGCACACGGACTCGCACATGCCCACACGCACATAAACACACACATAAACACACACATAGACACACACACACACACGCACACATGAAAATCTAGAGAAAATAAATTAATGATTTTCTTCTCGTTGCTGAATTAATCGAGGATTAGGCTATACAACTTTAATTACAAATCTTTCGCTTTTGACTTTTAATTTTATTATTATTATTATTTTAGATTTTACAAAAAAAATTTTAGGTATTGTTTAACATTTTATAAACATTTTATTTATAATTCATTCTATTAAGCATTTCTTTTTGACGAGTTGGAAAAAAATAAAGTAACACGTTTTCATTATTTTATTTAATAATACAAATAATTATAATCATAATTATCATAATATTATGATCTTTGTATCATTTTTGACGTCATACGCCAGAAAATTCTCAATTAGTTACATAAGAAAACGAAGCACTTGAGTGAGTTCGTCCTACCTTTGTGATAATTGGACGTTGAAAATTTAGTCTATGATCATTAGAATGAGTAAAATGATAATGAGAAGAGAAAGATAGAAAGGTTGAAAAAGTGAAGATAATAACGGCGATAATAATGATGATGATGAATATGATGGTGACGATGGAGATGATGACACGATGATGACCGAGACGATGATGACCGTGTAAATGATGATGATGATAACGGTAGCGATGATGATGACGATGATGATGTTTAAGATCGTTTGATTCCATCTCAGGATGATGATTTAAAAATTCATTGTAGACGATGATTAGGTAAGAATGATAATTAAAACTGGCGCTGTTGCTGTTTTGGATGATGACGATAATTTTAATGATGACCGCGAAATCGAATGATGAAATAAAATGATAATGTCTGTAACGAATAGAACTGCTGTGATGTCAAACACAGATGAATATAAAAATCTAGACCTGTGAAGATGTTGGTGGTGATGAGGAAGATGATGGTGAGAATATTGCTATTGAATATGACGATAAATCAGCACAACGAAAAGATGGTAAAAGTAATGATAATGATAACAATAGCAATGGTAATAGTCATAATACAAAGACACCAAATAGATCGTATCCATT